CCCCCCCCCCACTTCACCCGTGCCCCTTCTAAAATGATGCCCCTGACACTACAATACAAAATTATTTGTCAAATAAATGAAACAAGATGAAACATTCATTTTAGTTGAAATTGTTATAGATTACTTCTAGAGATTGCCGCGATACATGACATGGTGAAAAATGACTGAATGAATAATAGGGTACTTAAAGTAGGTTAAGATGAATTTTAAAATTGGGGCCAACACCCCAGTTACTGTGGTCTAGAACCGCCCCTGCATCACTGATCTAAATAATGAGTGACTAGCACTTCTGCCATGTCAGCATACTGCAGAAAAAATTGTAGTATTCTATGCAGTCTAACAGCACTGAGACTCTTCACATGTACAAGACCTATTATATACATATATCTTATGATATATAAATTATTTTTTAATATTTAAAACAACCCAGGTATACCTATATGCATATAGAATGGTGCATCAAACTATTTTTTTAAGGTAAGTAAATAATAAATCAACTCCGGATTTCATGTGATCAAGGGCTTAGGATGCCCTATTATGATTGACACAAAATATACACAAACATACCTTTTAAATAAAATGTTGTTAGTTCTGCCAGTAGGGGCCACTCATGCAACGTAATCAACGACGTACATCCGAGTCAAGGAGGAGACGGAGGGAAGTTAGCGAGGGAAATGCGTGAAAGTACGGTGGCCGTGAAGTGCAAAGCAAATCACAATTCTGAAAACAAAATAACAAATTACAAACGCAAATACAAGTCTAAAAAACAAAATAACAATTCAGAAAGCACAACAACAATTCAGAAAACATTATAACAAGTCAGAAAACACAATGATGAATTGTTATTTTGTTTTTTAGACTTGCATTTGCGTTTGTAATTTGTTATTTTGTTTTCAGAATTGTGATTTGCTTTGCACTTCTCGGCCACTGTATGAAAGAGTGACTCATTCACTTAACTGCTCCCTTCAAACAAAGATTGATTCAGGAATGAAACACCACTACTGAAATGCAACAACTAAAACTGTTACCAGTGCGTTTTCTCAACACAGTTAGTGAAGCTAACCATTACTAGGCTATAACTAATATCAATGTACTACTGGTATATGTAAGTACATGTATCTTGTAACTAACTTTTACCATTCTATATGACATAATCACCCTCCCAGTCAGTTTGTTGGAAATTTTTTGCTGGGGGGCAGAAATAGACAATAGGCCTATGACTGGAAAACATTGCCTAAAATATAAACTACTTAGTATAAACGTCTTGTCTGTAAAGTCAAGGCTAAATGTAATATCACATTGTACTTAACAAATTGGCATATCACAAACACACTATTAAAGCAAACTATTCTCTTAAAAGTTTGTTAGGGTTCAAATGATAAACTTAAGAGCAGCTAACTTAATACATCAACTAAAAATCATAATCCTGAGACAAACTGGTTAAAAGCTATAGCAAAAATTGCTAAGAACATGGGTTAGTTCTGAGAAAAGACCGACCATCATTTTTGTTTACAGTTTATTTATATTTTGTTTTGCCACTAGTTATCTAATGTAATGAGTTTCATACTTTACATTTTGGCAAGTGTGACCTACACATTCAGATACTTACAGATACTAAGGACCACCATATTGTATGTTTGTGCAAGATAAATGAAGTATAATTCATTGTGTTAGTGTTGCAGGAGATGCGAGGTCAAAGAATTGACGTAGAGCAGCTTCTCAGGCAGTCACAGACTGAACTGCTGTGGATCCAGCGACAGCTGTCAATCATAGCAGCAGGAGATGCCAGTCATGCCCGGGCCCAAAAGAAGGTGAGTAATCCTTTTTACACTTTTAATTTAAAATTTACACTTGCACAATCTGATCCCTAATGGTTTCTCATACACAATACGTCTAGTAGCAATGACACAAGATGGCACCATCCTGCCACATATACATTCACGCAGCCTAACATCCTGACCTACCAATCAGAGTACAACGAGCCAGCACAATCGCCCCACCAGCCAATGGAGGGTGTGTTTGTGTCATGTGAGGAAATGACAGGTGATGCACATAGACAGAGGGTGTGGTTGCAATGCAGTGTCCTATCAGGATCATCTTGAAAGTGTAGGCCTGGTCCCCTCCCTTGAGAATAGACATGCCATCTTAAACTGACGCATTTGTAGAGGACTGCCCCAGTGCAGGGGGGTGGGGTGGAGAGGGAGAGCACTACAGGAGCAGCTGGGGTTGCTTGGCAACAGAGCAGAGGAGACTGTAACACATTCCGTATTGGGAATCTGTTTCCATTTTTTTCCGAACAAGACCTGTTTCCTCAGCGCAAAGAGTGGCTAATGGCCGGGATGTGCCTACCATGCTGTCTAAGTAATCCCTCTTAATGCCCCTGTGCGCATTAAAATCTGATGTAACTGTGTGATATTCAGAGACAGTGAACTTAATTTCCCCTTGTTTGGTGTCGCTGTGAGATGAATGGAGCGGAACGCCCCTGTTTTTTCCCCTCTGTTCCTTGAGATAACTCAAACAAATCACAGTAGGGCAAGATAGCAATACCAACATTTCTAGGTGGCATATGGAGAACAAGATAACCCAAGATGCAGTATAACCCATATATGTGAAAAATTAAATATGGTGTCCATCTTAAGGTTCGTGAAGAAAACCAGGAGGAATGTCTTGCTGCAATTTGTTTGATTCTGTTTTTCTTATATGCTTAAAGCCTTTATAAATTAAAAATCTAAACCTGTATATTATTAGTTCAAATGGGAGGAATGGCTTATGGAAATGGCACACATGGGAAAAATGTATCAACATTTAGTAACTATGTAAATAAAAGGGTTTTCAAATTGGGGTGTCAGTAGAAAGGTTCTGAGAAAATAGTTTAAAATTTAAATAAATAATAAAAAGATGGACAATAACAATACAAATAATAATAATTAATAAAAAAGGTAATAATAAAAAGTAGTAATTTACAAAAAAAAAAAGCTAAATAGATAATATAATAAAACAATAAAAATACAAATGTATTATTTTATTCTAAATATATTCATAACAGTACTCTTAATAGTTTGTAGAAAACGGATAGTGTGAGGTTTTTATATAAATATAAATAATAATAATTAATAAAAAAGGTAATAATAAAAAGTAGTAATTTACAAAAAAAAATGCTAAATAGATAATATAATAAAACAATAAAAATACAAATGTATTATTTTATTCTAAATATATTCATAACAGTACTCTTAATAGTTTGTAGAAAACGGATAGTGTGAGGTTTTTATATAAATACATATTTTTTTCTTGATAATATTTTATACATATCTTATATTATCTGCCTTTATATTGAAGGAAGGGGTCCTTCACAAGAGGATCATCATATTTGGGCCATCAAAACCCCAGATTATGTCACTAAAATAATACTAATAGCACTACTGCAAATGATGAGATGCATTGAATTGGCTTTTGCAGCATTAGAAAGGCCATGCGTGAAAAGGCAAATGATTTACACATCAGTGATGGGAGTGGCTCTACACTTCACTGCTCTCCGTGTGTGCAAGTGTTGGGATACAGAGAGAAAGCCTGTGTGAGCGAACTGTAGGAGAGCAAGAGAGAGTATACCGAGGAGCATGCGCAATTCTCTATGACCATGTGTGTGTGAGAGAGACGGAAAGAGAAATAGAGCAAGAAAGGGAACGCACCGTTCTGTTGCACCACTCCTAGAGAGCCTGGAGACGCTCTCACATTGTCTGACTCCTGTTCCAGCTCAGGGCTTCTGCAGGGACACACATGCACGCACGAGCACAGAGACACACCTCAGACGTGTCGTCACTGCCACTCCTGGCAGCCGGTGATATAAGTGAGTGGGAGCGCTAAGGAGAAGAAGGAGAGGTGGAAGCAGCTAGCGTTAAGGTACAGTACACACGCAGATCATGTTTGATATGAATGAGATCGGTAGCAAAGAGAATGTGTGTGTAATGCCGTGCCATTATGCCTACATGTCGCCCTTCCTTGGCTCAGAACAGAGCGTGCGCTGGTTCATTCCAGCTCTGGAATACTGCAAAGAAAGGCAAGAGAGCATCCTACAGGATATGGCATGATCCGATGTGCAGGGAGACATTTGACCTGGCGGCATCTGGAGTCAGGTGGTGGATTGCGATGATGTCTTGTTGCTTAGTCTTCTACAGGAAGTTCAGAGGATGCAAGCACACAGATAACCTGAGGATACAAGTTGATCCGTGTTAATAGACATTACCCTTTTTTGGTAGGGTTGACTATCGGCTTGATTTGTTGGTCTAATGGCTCATTAGTTTCCTGGTTAATGCTTCCATCCCACTTGCAGGGCTTTTCACTTGTTATACATGAGAAGTTGGATACATTGAGTTTTGTGTTTGACCAGCCTGTATTTCCGTAGCTCTGCTGGCTCTGGTTGGGTTGGTACTGATGGGACAGTAGGTTGACTGGCTGTGACTGAGTATGCTAATGTAGTGTAGCATGCAAACCAGCTGGAGACCTGGCACACACACCACAGTGTGATTGGTAGTATTACTATTCTGATACAGCAGACTGTTTTCTGAGATTATGTAAAATCTCTCGGTTCAATCCACACAGACACACAAAACAGAGAGCTTTGAAACACACAGAATGTGATTGGCAACTGTTGTGTTTCTGGCATTGATACTACAGGCCAAAAGGCTGGCAGTTGATTTGAGTGTTTAAAATGTGTTTAAGGTTTAATTGTATGTGTGTCTCATTATTAATGATGCTATATTTGATCCACCAACTGTTATCAATGTTGGCTAGTAATCCTTTTTTTGTTATTGTTTTGGTTGTTGTTGCATTTTCTTTAAACTGAACTTCTTAATGTTTCTAGCTAGATGCAAAAAGCAAAATTTGAGGATTTTTTTCTGTTAATTTTAAAGAGAAGGAAAAATATGAAATATTATGAAATATTATGTGCTACATTTTGTAGGTTGCAGAATACAAAATTATAAAGAGAAATGGGGAGAGAGATATGATGTCAAATGGACAAGAGCAGCTTTTCAGGTTGCATTTATGTGGGCCATAACCTTAGCTTAGCTATATCTTGCTTTTAAAGCATATAACTTTTCAGGGTTCAGTAAGAGCCACATTGAATGTTTGCCACTATGTGCTTGATAGTCAGTACTTTTCCTAAACTGTTAGACCCTGTCCACACGAACGCGGTTATTTTTTAAAACCGCATCTTTTTCTACGCGGTTTGGCCGTTAGTCCACACGCAAACGCAGCACCAGGTCACTGAAACCGAACATTAAAAAAAAAAACTCCTGTCAGGGTGAAGATTTTCAAAAACTCCGGTTGCAGTGTTATCGTGTAGACAGCGAAACTGGAGTTTTTGGCTTGTGACGTCGGAGCCTGCGCTGTTATCTCCGCCTACTGGAAACTTTTTCAGGCCTCTGATTGGCCAACATGGATTTACGGTTGAGATTATATCGCCACCTCTTGGTTTGGCATGCTCTTGACAGTGCTTCATGGCATGCGTTTGCGTTTTCATGTGGACGGAGATTTTTTTTAAAAACAGAAGAAGGAAAAGTCCGTTTTTAAAAATACCCGTGTACGTGTGGACATGGCCTTAGAGGCTCTAATGACGGGGACAGAAAACTGCTCATTTTTAATCAGCATGCTTTAATACTTGATTGGACATTAAAAATCTTGTTTGATTATACCAATCTGTTAAATGTTAGGTATTTTCTGCTCTGCCCTGATTTCTGTCAAGGAAGCATGGTTTTATGGTTGTATGTCTCTAGTAAATGTTGTAACATTTAAATGTTTTCATAATGGTTATATTTAAGAGTAGCTTTATGTTCTCTATTTCAGTGGTTCTCAAACCTCTCCATGAAGTACCCCCAAACACTGCACATTTTGTTTGTCTCCCTATGTCTGACACACCCACTTCAGGTCTTGCAGTCTCCACTAATGAGCTGATGAGTTGAATCAGGTGTGATAGATGAGGGAGACATACAAAATGTGCAGGACTGGGGGTACTCCAGGACAGGTTTGAGAACCATTGCTCTATTTGATAACAACACGGGTTCTGACATGTCACATTAATTCATTTTATTTAGCAGTAACGGATTAACTAATGATGTGCTGTTTAGTTTAAATTGTCCTATTGAGACTTTGGCACTGTGCAGCTCAGTTATGTTATGCTATGTAAATATAATTAATAATGTATCTGGCTTAACAGATTTAGCACTGATAACATATGAATTATGTACTTCAAAAGGGAATTCAGCGATCTCAAAAGGTGTAAAAGTAATAGTTTTTAGCTAGAGGGTTTCTTTTGGGAGAGTTTTTCTGGTATTTATTGAGTGACCATGAGTAGGTTACATGGTCTGGTTTGGGATCAGATCCCTTCTAATGCAGTGCTTCAGCTTTGTTACAGTGCCAGTGTTCCTGTCAGCACGCACAGTTGGCAAGTATCAGAAAAAACAAGCAAACGCTCTATAATCTGGGCGTGATTCTTTGCAGCCTAAATTGTATCGGTGTAATGCGTAAGTAACATCACAAAGATTAATTTTTTTAACTAGAAGTCTTGTGGTTACGCCCACAGCATAAAGTTTAATTTATCTCTTTTTAAGGAGTTTACCCACACAGATTATTTAAATATGAATTTCAGATGTTTGTTATTTACATCTTAAACCTTGAAAGATACACTGTGTAATTTTTGCACCTCTAAAAAAAAGTAATGACTGTTTTCGAACAGGTTTTCTGAATCGTCTGATAGTCTCACCATACTCACACCTGAGCCAAAGTCGCATCAGACTGCACAAATTAGCCCAACAGCATCCAAAAGTGCCACAGAGCCAAACTATTATTATTTTGCAGGGAAATACAGGCATACAAGTGGTTTACTTATAATTGACATTTCTGAGATGAGAGGGACCATTTTAAAAACAAATAAAACTTAAAGGGCACCTATTATGCAAAATTCACTTTTAAAGGTTTGAACATAAATGTGTGTTTGCAGTGTGTGTATACACCCCCCATTCCAGCTGTATCCCTTCAGAGACATAACCGACTGTGTTTTTGTAACTTGTGTGTTTTTATTTTGACATAAACTTGTGTGTATTTGACGTATTTAAGCACAATAAGACATGAAAGTGAGCTTAGTTTAGTACTCACATGCCATGTGACAGCTGCTTTCAAACAGCGTGTTTCTGCTTCCATTCAAAATGGGCATTTTCAAAATTATATAATAAATGATCTGTGGGGTATTTTGAGCTGAAACTTAACAGACACATTCTGGAGACTCCCAAGACTTATATTACATATTGTAACATGCAGGATTGTGTCCACTGTGTTCATCCTGAACAGTGTTGGGGTAACGCATTACAAGTAACGCGAGTTACGTAATCAGATTACTTTTTTTCAAGTAACTAGTAAAGTAACGCATTCATTTTTTAATTTACAAGAAAATATCTGAGTTACTTTTTCAAAAAAGTAATGCCAGTTACTTTGTTTTCCCATTTATTGACTGACAAGTCTCCTGTCCCCATATTGGGAGAAATCGG